CTTTAGTCTTAGGGACTTTTGTTTTTTTAAACAACAGTCAAGTGTGAGAAAAATAAGATAAAAACAGAGAGGGAGGCAAACCATAAGAGACTCTTAAATACAGAGAACAAACAGGATTTCTGGGTGGGGGATAGACAATCTACATGGGTGATGGGCATTAAGGAGGGCACTTGGTGGGATGAGCACTGGGTGTTCTATCTAAATGATGAATCACTAAATTTTATTCCTGAAACCAATACTACACCATATGTTAAGTAACTTGAATTTAAAAAAAAAAGAAAAAGAAAGAAAAGAACTTAAGGGCACCACCAGCTACCACAGGCACCTTGGCCTATTATATTGCTAATCGTAGTCACTGTCTCCTAAATGTCAACTCTTGTTAAGATTAAGGATGGTGACAAAGAAACAGTTTATAAGTAACACGGTATTAGTCTAACTTTGAAAGTCCGTTTAAAATGCCTAGTTAAGATCAAGGGGCTCAGATGTGAGGGCTAATTTGAGTCAGCAAATTAGGGCCCCCCCTGGGAAGATCTGAAACCTAAATGACCCACTTGGGTTCACACCTATTGTTTTCCTCAGTAGTATCCTTCGTCTTTTCTTCCAGAGAGAGAGAGGGCCTTGCCCCCTTGGACTGTGAAATGGGAAAGGTTGGATACACTACATCCTTAGAAATGAAAATAGTATGCTTGAACCAGCTAGAAATAGTAACAGAAGGTCGTGTGACTAAAAGAACTAGGCGAACATCATGGGTACTTTCTTTATTGATACACCCTGTCTACAGAATGATTAACAAGAACATCTTAAAAGTATGTGAACTGATTTTTCAGACAATGCAGAAAGCTAAGAAAACTGAGGAGACATTTTCTCCTCCTCAGCCTTGGAGAATAAGAACCCAGAGAACTATGTAGCACCTACAAAAAATAGAAAAAAGAGGGTGAATCTTTGGAGAAGTGGTTCAGAAGAGCCCCAGGAAGCTGCCAGGTATTAAGGGTTGACCTGGAGGCTTACCGGACAAGGAACCCTAGAATTTTTCCAAACAGGTATTTAAAAGGGGAATATTTAACTGAATTGCCCTGAACTTCTTAGTTTGAGAAATTGGGATGGGATTATGAAAAGATTCTTATGAGACTTTTTGTTTGTTTTTTTGGCAATGTTGCTTCTGTCATGGCCAAAAGTCAGAAAAAAAAAGCTTCAAAGATTTGAAGAGTTTAGATTCTCATACAGAAATTCAATGTCAGTTTGATTCTACAAGCTATAAAGAGTTGGCTTTGGTAACGCTATGGGTTTTAAATAATATTAGGTCAGAGTCTTAGCCTACATCTGTCCATGAAAGTGCTCATAATGATAGCAGGGAGATTGTGGGCTGTTTCTGAAGAGCTTGAAGGACAGGATAGGCAGACATCTGCTCATGATGCTTTAGGCATTCATCTACTTAGGAGAGTTTGGATCCTTTCCACGATTTTAAAAGCCATAAAGAAACAGAATGGACATTATGGAGATTCTTAAATAACATTATGGTATTTAAAAAACATCCCTGATGTATAAGATATCACGATAATAAAAGGGACAAAGAAAATCAATGAGCTAAAGTATATTTCCATTAAACATTTTTTATACCATTTATAAAACAAACTCTGTCAATACCGTTTTTAAAAATTGAACAACTGTAGCTATTTGATTCTTTTAACCAATTAGCAGTTGAACTATGTGGCACCTAGTGTCCTCAGTGGAAAGAGAAATGAAGTAGGCAAAATTTTCCCCTTAACAATTACTCCCAATTATCACGCCTTCTAGTTCCCTGCACTCTCCCTGGTCGGGTGTTAAAAATACATATACTTTTCATTCATCTTGGTCTCTCACAACCCATCTCATCAGTACTCTGGCCGTGAGTCACCTCCAATGTGAGTTTTCTCTGTTCCTGCCCCAATGCATCGCCATACCACTGGACTAAGTCCTAAATCCTTCTGACCTTGTTCTCTGTCACATCAAGCTTTTTGGCCTCAGCTGAGCCCCTTCCTTGCCACCGAACAATTCCTTATTTTGCTTTGCTGGCTTCCACTTGATTTACCTAGGGGCTGTTGTAGGCCTTCATGCTCACTTCTTCAAGTTCAACTCACCTTCTTCACTTTCAGCAGGTGACGGAGAAAACTCTAAGGGAAGTTTGAGCCTGTGCATCTGGAGCAGTCTCACCTTTTCTCTTCTTCAAAATCTTTCTATACCCTCAAATTTCCTCTCTCTATTTGCTTCTATATTCTCAGAGTGAAGCATATGTCCTTTGCCTTCACCAAGATTCCTCTTCTTATCACCCACTGTCTCCTTTGGGACCTGGGGCATCAAGTATCCCCTTACCTTCTCACATAATCAATCTCTCCTTTTATTATTTACTTATTTTTTTAATGACTATTTGTTTTTGAGAGAGAGAGAGAGACAGAGCATGAGTGGGAAGGAGACACAGAACCTGAAGCAGGCTCCAGGCTCTGAGCTGTAAGCACAGAGCCCAACGCGGGGCTCGAACCCACAAACCGCGAGATCATGACCTGAGCTGAAGTCGGATGCTTAACCACTGAGCCACCCAGGCGCCCCTCAATCTCTCCTTTTAGAGCAACTTATCTCTCAAGGTTTACTCACTGAAAACAAACCAACTACCCACCTACCTTTATGTGGATCCATAAATGATGAGATACCTCTGTGAACACTTAATAAGAATAGCTTATACCCATCAACTCCATTTTCTCATTGATACTCTTTTTTTTTCCCCCTGTGATTTTGATTTTGTTTGTTCCTAGTACACTATAGAAACTGTTCCTCAGCAGGGTTTTTTCAGTCTTCAACCTGTTGGCAACATTTATCCTACTGAACACCTTTAGGAATTTTTATTTCTTCTGCTACTTCTCTCACTGTGCCTGTTGTGGTTTACCTGGCACTCTAGTTCTCTTTCTATCTGAATATAGACATTCGCCAAAGTTCAGGCTTCTCTCCTCTTATGATTATACCTAAGAAACTGCTTCCAAATCTTCAAATTTTATGCATCTTATTTCCGTTTCTATGGCTTGTGCTTTGATCTCTTTCCTGAGATCAAATCCTCATTGCACAGTTGAATATACCACCTACAAGTTCAGCCTGCATGTCAAACTCAATAGTGTCCCTAAATCAAATTTGTCATTTCCCTCTCCCAAGCCTTCTCCCAACATTCCTAATTTTGATAATGGTATCCACCATTTTTTCAGAAGCTTGGGTATCCATTACATATTAAGCAAATTTCCATCATGTGCTTCATATGTGTGAGTTAATAGTTCCAGGCACTAGGGATAAAGGAGGGAACAACATGAATGAGGCTCCTATCCTCATGGAGTCCACATTCTAGAGTGGGAAAACAGAAAAAAAAACAAGTAATCGAAGAAGATAAATTTTGGTAGAGATTAGTGCTACAAAGAAAGTCAAAGTGCTATAAAGGAAGCAAGATTGACTGTTGTGAGAGATGGGATTGGGCAGTGGGACAAGCATATCAGATAAGTTGGTCAAGGAAAATACTCTGAGGAGGTGGCATTTGAGCTGAGATTAGAATAAGGAAAGCCAGTCATGTAGCTAGTAAGGAAAGAGCTACTCTAACAGAGGATAGGCCAGTTTAAGAACTCCAAATATACACACACCTCTGTGTTTCCTTTATTCTCACTCCAACTTATCATTCTAATTTAAATTGCTTGTTAGGTCTTACAAAGTGACCTTAATTTTGATCTCTCTTGCATCTATTTCCTTTTGGTTTAAGCTCTGATTGCTTCTTGTTCCTCATCCATTTCCTGTTCCAGAGCATCTCTCATATCACTACAGAATTAATCTTTCTGAAGTGAAAGAAACTACAATATCATACTCTTGCTCCAAAGCCTCTAGTGATCCCCTGTTATTCACTGAACTAATATAAGCTTGGAACCCTAACATTTAAATTTGTTCAAGGTGTAACATCAAAATATCTTTAAAAAAATTTTTTTTAATGTTTATTTTTGATAAAGAGAGACAGAGAATGAGTGGGGGAGGGGAAGAGAGAGAGAGGGAGACACAGAATCCAAAGCAGGCTCTGGGCTCTGAGCTGTCAGCACAGAGCCTGATGCAGGACTCGAACTCACAGACCACGAGATCATGACCTGAGCTGAAGGTGGACGCTCAACCGACTGAGCCACCCAGGCGTCCCTCAAAATATCTTTCAATTCTTTTCTTCAATAATGCTAGCCACAATCCTATCCAAATTCGTATGTGGAACATACCTTAAACATTTCTGCATCCAAAGTTGCCCATCTTGTCCCCTCTGCTTGGACTATCACCTCCTCACACTCATGTGGACCAGTCACAGCCCTCCGAGTTCTCTAAGCCCTATCTCAAATCACTTTTTCCTTGAAGACCCTTCAAATATCTCTCCATTTTTAACCCACAAAGAACTTTATCCCTTTCTTGCAGCATTTGTCATGCTTTGTGCTAGAGTGTGGTTACGTGCACAACTATGTTCTCTCTCTGCATCTTGTCCTTTATCACAGATGTTTTAAGACAGTGACCACATGTTATTTTTCCTTGTACTAGTGTAGTACTTCATACAAGGATGGCATTGAGCAGTTTTTGTTGTATGAATGAATGAATGAATGAATGACTCTGTCAAATCTGCGTTTAACTAATACTTATTTCATGAGGACCCCAGTGGTTTCCCTTTTATCATTCCTCTTATTGGTTCTCGAGACACTTAGATGTGAAACGTCAGAAAGCAGATAGAAATACAGAGTCCCTGTTTTGAAACAGCCTAGTTAGTTATAATCTGGCCAGGCGATTCAAAGTTTATATTGAGGAGAATTAAAAGTATGTATTTTAAAAGGCTGAATCATCAGTATAGTGTGAGAAAAATAACTCTTTGAAACACTAATTGATTGCTTGTTCAGAATACATAAAACTGCTTGGCATTATTCAGTTCTTAAAATGATACATGATCATAATTGCAGAAGCAGAACCTCAGTACTTACCACATTACTGCATGTTCTATATCGGATATTTCTTCCCTCACAGCTCCTAGGTCACACACACACACAGAAAAAAAAAAAAAGAAAAGAAAAGAAAAAAAAAAGAAGAAAAAAAAGAAGAAAAAAGAGGAAAAAAAGAAAAAAGAAAAAACTCATTACTACTCATTACTACAGGCTCAAAATTGAAACTATTTTGTCACGAGAACAATTTTCTCTTAATACTAATGTACGAGTCTCTTTTCTTCCGAACGACAATGTTCTTATAGAAATTACTAGCAATACTAAACAAAGCAGTTCTCAAGAAGTTGTATATATAAACTGATTTCTCCATGAGAGCTGAAACTAAGCATTCATTTTCCTTCAAAATTTTTCAAGATAAGTACTTATACTTCGTGCTTATTAACCAAATAAATATTAATACAAGATTTTCTGAAAAATGAATCCTGTCTTCTTAATTATTTATGGTATTAGACTGAAGAGATATTTCACTGAAAAAACTTAGATCTGGAACATGGTAAAAATGAGACAATATTCAACATGTCTTAAAATTACACATCTAAGGACATTAAAACTTATAGTTCTTAAAGAATTATTTTTACTTCTAAAATACACGCTCATTGGAGAGGTTTTGGAAAAGAAAGATTCCAAAAACGAAATCCCCCATAGTTGCCTTATCTAAAGATAATCACTGTTATTTTGACTTACTGATTTCTTCTCAGTGTGGAAGAAATTACGTCACCTATACCATTTTGTGGTTTGGGTTTTCTTTTCCCACTTCAGCTTTTTGGGAAGCATTTTCCCACACTATGAAATAATTTAAAGATACAGTTTTGAGAGCTACATAATATTCCGTTAGATGAGATAAAGTAATTTGTATAACCATTCTTTCATGACTTGCCATTTAAGTAATTTCCAATGAGGGGGTTGATAAATGATGGTGTGAAAAACTATGTCTATATAAAAGTTTTATCCAAGTTTCTGACCGTGGCTGTAGGACAGATAAATTTCTAGAAGGGGAATTACTGGAGTAAAGGGAATGAACTTTTATAAGACTTTTGATAAACATTGCTAAATTGCATTCCATAAAAGTTGTACCATTCCTTACTCCCATTAGCAATACATGGGAGTTTCCATTTTACTGAATTTCTGTGACAAAACAATTTTTAATTAAATATTCAATGGTGACACTTAAAACAGGGACAAGTGGTACTCTGCCCTTTGCAACATGTCATACTTTTTTTTAACGTTTATTTATTTTTGAGACAGAGAGAGACACAGCATGAACGGGGGAGGGGCAGAAAGAGAGGGAGGCACAGAATCGGAAGCAGGCTCCAGGCTCTGAGCCATCAGCCCAGAGCCTGACGCGGGGCTCGAACCCACGGACCGCGAGATCGTGACCTGGCTGAAGTCGGACGCTTAACCGACTGCGCCACCCAGGCGCCCCAACATGTCATACTTTTTACAAAACGAGTAAAAATACAATACAAAATGCTAAGAGAATTATTATACTAATAACTAACAGTTTGAAATTCCAGGTACATTTCTAAGTTTGGTATATGTATTAATTTAATCTTTTCAGGAACCGTGGGAGGCAGGGTACAATTATACTCTTTTTAAAGATGAAAAACGGAAGCTCAGGGACTTTGAGTAACTTGCCAAAACCACACAAGTGTTAAGTCGTAGAGCTGAGATTTGAAACCAGACCATGCAGTCTCAGAGCTTACACTCCTAACCATGATGATTTTCTACCTCCTCATTAACTTGTTTATTCAGGAAACAACCACCGAGCTCCTGTTATGTGCTGCACAATGTGTTTACTTCTGGGAATACAAAAAAGAATGGCTATAACTTTGTCTTTGGTATTAATAAAACCTCTCATGTAGTTACAATTCAGTGTAGGAAAAGCTAGATAGTATTTGTGTTAGGTCTTGAAGATGTCATCAAAAAGAAAATAGCATCTGAAAATACAATTGCACTAAGCCTGTCTTAAAGAGATAGAAAGGTCCCAGGCCTGAAGACTTGGCTGTGACCAGACTGAGAATATTAACACACATTAACAATAGAACATGGGAAAGGAAAGGAAGGGTTGGCCAGGCATTATAATCCTAGAAAAGAAGAGAATCACGGAGATATATGGTTGTCGGTGCCCAGCCAAGCAGTGTCCCAGGCAAAAGACCTATGAGTTTCATGTTCTCCAGGTCCCATTGGCAAGGCTGTTGCAATCACAATACTGATGCATCATGATAACTTAGCTGATGCCAATGAATGTTCTGTTTATCCCAGGGATACCCCTCCTTAGGATGCCATGTTGACCAAGCAACTTGCCAAGAATGATCTGGTTTCTTAGGACTGCTGAGAGGCAGAGTGTGCTTGTCATGCTGACGTGGGTGTTTTGGTCCATGTGATAGTTCTATTTTTCATTGTAAGTTAATAAATAAACTAGCATTCTAGTTTGAAACATTAATCTCATGGGCCAAATCATTGTCCACCTCCAAGAGAAGGATCTGTTCTTGCTATGATTACTGAAAAATACCATATTTCTGAGTCTAAAAAGATAATAAGTAATACCAGTTGATGGTACATTTACAAGGTAATGAATTCTACAACCCAGAGGCCTTTGGTGGCATGCCTTTTAGACCTTGGTCTCAGTTGAATGTGGTAAGTTTTTCAGTTGTGAAATTCTAAGTACATATGTGACATGGTGTAATGGTTCAGAGTACCCACTTTGAAACCAGAATCCTCATTCTGGAATCTTGACTCTCTTCTGCAGTTTAAATATCTCAGTTTTATCATCTGTAAAATGGGATAATATTACTTATTTCCTGGAATTATCATGGGGATTAACTGACTTAATATTTGTGGAGCACTTCTAACAGTGCCTGGCACATTATATAAACATTTGGTAAATTAATTGTGTAACAGAAATAAAAACATAATAGATATTGAAAGAGGGTTAAGGATATATATATATAAAGGAAACCACAGGAAAGGCACAGAGGTATAAAAAGATATGTCATCAATATATGTTTTGTTTTGCTGGAGTTTGGGATTTATGTGGGGAATCACAGATGAGAGAAATACCTTCTAATTTTGAACTTGGCAATAGACAAAGAGGAACCACTGAATGTTTTAAAAACAAGAAGATACAATGATGACTTCTCACTTTAAAAAAGTGAACTCTGGTGTTAATCATTAAGACCTTAAAGTTCCATGTTTTTCACCTCTTTTTATTTTCTTTTCCCAACCTTATCTCCCTGAAGGAATAATGAAAACAATACTAAATTAGGAGTTTGAGGATGTAGGCCGTAAACTTGTTTTTTCTCCTTGCATAAGCCTGTTGCCCTCTCAGGGTCTTACCCTTCTCATCTGTCAAATGTATATTGGAATGGTTGGGCACAAAGTTGTGATCACTAACTGAGATAATTTACAAAAGCTCTGTTCAAATGCCAAAGGATTATTATAGAGATATCATTTGCTAAAAACCAAACCAAATAAAACAAAACAAAGGCAGAAAAATACCTGCTTCAATAACTTAAATGAGCCTTTCCCCATATATATTCAATTACGAACACACATTTTAAAAGCATCCTTGAAAGATAGATGTGAGCACATAATATGAAACATTGATTTAAATCATTCTTATTTAGCAAAAATAAAACAACACAGAAAGATTTGCTGCAATTTCCAAAGAATATCCTATAATTGTCAAACACCTTGTCTTGATTTACACATAATTTGTTTCCCTGGATTAAGTCTTCCCTCTCCTAAATAGTATTACTTATTTACTGAAAGCTTATTTCATTTAATCAACTGAAATATGACATTAAAGTGGTAATGTTGGATTTTGGAAATGTCCTCATTATTGAAAGTCATTATCAGATTGTGGGTAACAAATGTAATTCTAGCCTCCATGATATACTGAGTGTCTTCTATAGGTATTTGGTCCAGGGTTACATATTCTGTGTACATTATCAATAAGCTTCCAACAACTCTGAAAGGTTTTATTACTCCCATTTAATAGATGAGAAGATTGAGGCTAATAGAGATTAGGAGGCTTAATGAAATATCCACAGGAAAGAAAGAGCCAGGGATTGGAACTCAGATTTGTTTAAGACAATTAAAAAAAAAAAAAAAGGAACAAGATATGCTTAAGATGTGTAAAATATTAATACTAGATTAAATGTGAGAAACCAAGCATAGTGTTGGTCTGGGGGTTAAATGCACCTTATTGTTACCATATCAATTTATGAGCTACTCTTCAGTTCTGGTAAATTCACTTCTAGTAAGTAAAGGATACCTAGACTCACATCGTATATTGGGAACATCTCCAAGAAAACCACACTCCTCTATAAAATGTAACATGAAAGAACTTCAATGCAGAGAAGCTTACGCTTTTTAAAAGTTCAAATTTATTATACCTGCATATAAATTTTATTTAAGTTAATGAAGTGACTATTCCACCATAAGGATTTAATTTGTGCCAAGTATGAATTTCTTCATCCGAAGGATTTATCTGGGCACAAAAGCCTCATTTGAGCATCATGCAGTAAAGAATATTTTCTTCCTTTCTTAACAGTTCATTGGTATAAAACAGCCAAATGGTTTCTTTCACATTTAAACAAAATAAAATTCACCCCTGGGAATGAAAACAAACAGAAATTTCAATCCAAAATGGGTTCCAAAGCAAGTTATAGGCCACTGATAACAGAGATTTTTAAGTAAATGCATTTTCTCATTGCAAACAATAGAATGTTTTCAGGACTGTGTTTAGTGAGCTAAGGATGGTACCAATTAAGGACTCAGAACTGGTTCAAATATGAAGGAACAAAATATAAATATTCAAATATATTCCGAACTGAATTTGTACACACAATTCCTTATTTATTCATTTAAGCACTTCACTCCTAGCTAGTCATTTATTAATTTTGACTTAATTCCTTCTGTAAAAAATGGTAATCACCTCAATCACAAGCTAGTATTTGTGAATTATTCAGATTTTAACTCACTTATAATGAGATTAGTGTAAGCTTAAGGCACACTTTTTTGGTT